TATCTCTATCTCTCTCTCTAATATATATATATATATATATATATATATATATATATATATATCTGTCTATCTGTTCGTCTGTCTGATTGTCCGCCTGTCTGTCTGTCTGTCCGTCTATAAACCTTTCGATTTTTCTAACTATTCATCCATATACATATATAAATGTATATATATATATATATGCATTTATATTTATCTGAACAACGTTACGCCTCGTTATCTGAATTCTTCATGAGTGAACATTACAGCCGCAGCCGTAATCGTATCAAGACTACTTTTTTCAGAATCTGAGCTGCGTACCATGCAGACCATCTTCAACAACTTCCTGACAATGCAGAGCCTCAGCTGAACTCGGGGTTATGCAGAGCATCCCGATAAGTCCAAATGGGCTGAAAATTGTATTCCACCACACAGCACATGCTTTCGTCGATAATTCGGTTGTTTGGACATAGCTATCCTATATCTACTTAGTGGTCGTCCGAATTTAGGCGGCAACTGGGACACCAAATGCTATAACACTTGTGAAGTTTCACACAATTCCTGTTCACTTTTATAAACGAAAAAGTGATTCTCAATCATTAGTATTTGTGACATCGATCAACTGAGAATTAAGTGAACCGTGCTTCGTCTCATCGAAATTGAATTTGAATTACAACGAGACGTTTAATTTTCTTAGTATCGCTGTTCCTTGCCACTATTCCTAAAAGGTAACGAAATCTACTCAGTAATAATTAACTTAATAAAGGTATCTTCCAGTATCTTAGTAATTCATACGTACAACCAAGTTTTCTGGGTCAGCGAGACAAGCTTCCCACGCTGAATAACCATCAAGCCATAGACTTGTCCATGCGGACCGTATTTCTGCAATAGTGTAACAGCCTATCCGTCATTATCCACACATGAATATCCATGTTGCATCCTCGGTTTCCCGCAAATGCGAATTGAAATGAGATTAACCCCAGAAAAATGAGGAAAGACAACATATTTTGGTACAACCAGATTACGTTCCGGTGAGCGTCGAACTGGGAGACACTGTTTTAGCCGCCGAATGTCGTATTCGTATGGTCGCACCCACAACTTGGGAAAAAATTAAATTCTTTGGCATTATCCTCTCTGTGCTCAGTCCGTCGGATCCGTAATAAACCACCGACAACAATCACGGACCCATCGCTTCGCTTAATTACACTCCTAAAAACGCAGTGATTATATCAAATCGACTGGTGATAAAACGCTTTCATCCAAATTTTACAGGACAGAAAACAAGTCAGCGACCACCTCCGCTAACCAAGGTACCGGAATTCTCCTCAACAGATAGTCTAGCTGAAGACCTGGTTCATCCAACATTAGACACTGTCCGAATAGCTTTCGACCGTACGCAGCTTGTACACCAAGATGACCTGCATTATGAAAGCTGTGAGATCGTCATGCATAAACCGCATATGGTGGACGACGAATATCTTCACTATCTAATGAAACAAACCTATAAGTTTACAGAGTGCACCCGCAAGCTTTCATCCAGTGGTCATCAATTTCCTTCAACCGAGTGGACGCGTCGTTTGCATACAGAAACACTCAATGTCTACCAGGGATTCTCTCAATGGGTACGTCGACCATGTAGCTCGAAACAGTCGATGCACGATTGGTTTAACTTTGGTTGCAATACAAACTCGAAAGAAGCGTGATTGGAAACAACCTCTTCATGGAATGTAGGCATCGCACCGTCAACAAATTGGCACCGTGGATGGGCCTAAGTAAGCCAACTCCAGCTTCTCTTTAACACCCATCTTCATGGGGCTTCCTGAACGCCCGAGTGCTGCTGTTTGCGGACGACTACGCTCTATTTTCGCATTATTAGCCGGATATTCAATGGATAAATACTGTTCGATAGCCTTCTGCTTTGACTCGTAATATATGAGTAGTTCTAAAAAAGCTGTCTATATTCAGCCTGCACCGGAGTTTTGCCGTAAACCGCCAGGCAATTTGTCTTATGGTTCGGATTGTGTGCTACACCGAATTCTGTCATCACGGAACCATGTTTTCCATAAACCTGATACGTGATTATCAAATGGCCCATGGATTGCAAAAGCCAGCACGACTTTTATTCACCTTTGAAACGCATCTGTGGCAACCAGCATCTGTCCACAAGCACCATGATTGTAGTATATATGGTCGCATTGCTGTGTTCACAGTGAAACCGAAATGCCACAGGAACAACAAACGCGGATTTCTTTTCGATCCCGCTTAGATTGCCTTGCAATGTCCTTACGATCAGATGGAATAGCGGAATACCGAGGGTCAAAAGAACCGCATGGAGCAGAGCTATCTAAGCAGCCTTGATAGCTACTGAAGTAGAACTCTCTGCGTTTGGGTTAACAAAGGTATTGTTGTTTCCTTACGGAATAACGGAGAAGTCCAGAAGTGGCCCCATTAATTCGAGGCGTTTGTGTGATTTCCAACAGTGAGCTGACGAACCTAATTAGGTTCATCTATTCGAGTTCAATGGAAAATAATTAACGAATTACATTTTAAGCACCAAGTATCAAGCTCGATGGCACATGAGGGGCTATCACACAATTAGTTAGTCCACTGATCCATTCAGACAAGCAGAAACTATGGTTGATGAACAAAACTAATCAGCCTATCAAGTTGACTTGGGAGGCTAATGGAAATGAAGCTTCAACTGAAGAATCGACTCACAGAAATGATTTGAATAATTTAGTAAAAAATCCTTGTTTCGAAAAGCGTCACTTTACTTTTTCACCTACAATTGTAAGTTGCACAGCTTGATCATTCAGCGTTCAGACTGATTCGGTTATACGAATTTTTTCCCGAGCGATGGAAACGTGTGAATTGTCGGTAAAGTAAACTCCCAGTTCTGGCAAAGTTAACCATTGACTCAACAGAACCGTGAACTAATCGGACCTACCTAAGTTTTCGATTGTGTGCTGGCCTGATATGAGAAAGTTTTGACAAAATCCTGCCTAATTCGAGAGAGCATTTGTCACTCGTCAATAAATTTCGGGGTAAGACAGTTAAGAGAGACCACATTTGTATAGTTGCGGTGAAAACCTCTGGTTAACTACACGAATGCGGAGCCCGTCCTGGTGGAACAGGCTATCTGCATGAAAATGTCTGGCGTAGAACAGCATTTCTTGAAGCCGATAGTCGAATGGCTCACCTCCTTGGAAAATCACCGTTAGATGCAGACCGAAAAGAATGGGCTTGATACACGACCGAGATGTTTCCGAGACCAGTTTGAGCAACCAACAAGCTTGCACCCTTGGTTAACTAGCATCTTGCAGGATTTACCTGCCAAAAGCCAAATCCGCGATTTTTTGCATCAATTTTTAGTTATCCTGCCGGAAAACTCTAGTGGAACCACAACGAGGTTATGTTCTGTCCGTAACATTTTTCTTTTTGTTGGCAGTCGTTGCAGACCATCATGTTGTCCAACAAACCGAGTCCAGAATCTAGTTTTTTTCATTTCTGGGGAGATTTCGTCCTGTAAGTGAAGCCAATCTATGCTGAAAAGCCGAGAAGCACTGCGCAGCTGTTTCATCCTTATTGGGAATCATCAGCAGTGCGCATCTCACGAAACTCCGAAGAGTCTCGAACCCGCGACCTCCCGGCTAGTAGTTTGAACACTTAACCGTTCGGCCACAAGTGGCTTTTATTTGTTGGATGGATTCAGGTCGTCTGTGGGTCAAATGTATGGTTGAAGTTTCCGACTGAACGATTTGCGTTCGTACGCGTGCTCTAAATTCTCTGATCCGTCACTTTTCACCACTAGCATAGACATTCACTGTAGCCAGCATAGTGCTCACGAAAAGCTCATGAAACAAAAGCTTGATCCAAACAGCCTCACGTATTTCCAAGCACTGCAAGAATAAATGTTTGCAACAACCATTTCATAACGAATTTCAGGCAGCTCCACGCTGCTTAACTGAATCCAGGCACTGAATTGAGTTTCGTTTGGAGAACACTGCCTCCCAACTCGTACTACAGTAAACCCAAGAGACGTGACTTACCAAACTGTCGATTTTTGTAGATTCAGACTGGTTTACTACTGATTTTTGAGGCAAATGCTCAAAGCACAATGAAGGACTAACTCCTGACCCCAATGATGGTACCAGTGAGCATACTCATAATATTCTATGACTATCAAAATCGATTCGGTCATGTAGGTTGAAGTCCTTGGGAAATCTCTTTGCGTATCAGAATAAACCGTCCAGTTCACCACTTCGGCCCAGAATTTTTCTTGGTTTAGGTACGAGCTCAAGACAAATTATTGGTGTAGCCATTGATTCGGTGACCTGTGTGCATGCCGGCTCGTGAAGAAGGCTGAAAAGTTCGTAGGTAGGTTTCAAACGTGCTCCTATGAGTTGCGACTGAGTAGTTGTTCATAAAATGTTTGAAGAAGAGTGAAATAAAATATCCTGGCACGAGGCAGTACGCCCCCTCAACCAGAGGCATCGTGGCGCAAATCGGCGATGGAGTTTGTGGTGCTGGAAGTCGACAGATAAATTCAACGTTCGCGGTGAAACAGTTTTTTGTTTTTGGTCTCTCCCGCCCCATCGATTCTGGTTTCTGTGATTGCACGGAGAATTAGAAATGATGATGATGACTTTTGGATTAAGAAGACTGCTCTTGAACCGAGCTTTTTCAGTCACTGATGTGGAGCTATAAAGAGGTAGATATTCTACCCCATCAATAGGTCCACAAGGATCGGTAATCAAGGACTTGCAAGACAGCTCAAAGAGATCAGTGGACAGAGAGAATAAAATGGATTTCGAGGTTGTAGTTAGGTCAAGCCGTGTATATGCCAAGAAAAGAGTGCTTGCTTTGAGGGCATGTTCCTGATGCCGTTAAGAACCACTTCTTCTTGTTGCTTAAAACTATCAATCACTGGTCTTAAATCCACAATGTATGCGTGTTACATGTTGGCGGGAGTTAGATAAGCATGAGGAAAAAGCTAGACATCAGCCTTGCTCTGTGATAGTTTGAAGCATGTGTATCGCGGTCTGAAAGACTCAGCAACACATTTTTTAAGAGAGCAGGAGATCATCCGTTTTTTGACCTATTGCTTCATTCAAATGGCATACAAATGCAGCGATGAAATCAACCCATCGAAACAAATTGATTACTTATTGATTGGTAACGATATGTTTGTTGACAAAATCAATGGCTAGCCAAAAGCAGATCCACTAAAACTGTCTGAACTCACTCGTCAATACAAGCCTCTTTAGCATCCGAGTGCTTTTCCGTATTTGTTTTAAGTAGGCTCGATATTAATTAGGAAACTAGGCCCATCTGATGCGTCCCAAGAGTGATGCCGGTAGTGGACTTTCTATCCACTCATCGATCGCATGGGCAGTACTGAAAGCTACCTGTTGTTTAGCCAACCCCCCTGAGAGTATCTATGATTTATCGCAACTACATGAGTTTTGCATGCCTTGAAACTTCCTTCGTGTTCTTCCTACACTTCAGATTTATGGTTCATAAGACTCTGTGAGGTTTTGGGCCTAGAATTGTAAACCACCACAATTCACACTGACCTATTTAGTGTAAAATTTTGTTCAACAGTATTTATTTCTGGAGAAGGCGAGACGCCTATCCAGTAGAACCCAAAGCCAATGCAGTTTACCCAGGCTGGAGGTGTATTCCATAACTATTCGGAGATGTCTCTGTTATTTCCTCAAAGTTCTTTACTCGTAACGTCATCTATGATCCACCCTCTGTTGAAATGTTCATGAAAATCAGTATTGCTTGTTTAATCAATACACCACACGTTGTGAACAGAGTTTCCCACATGCAATGACAGAACTGTCTCGTAAGAGATGCCGCTTCGACAAAGTGGGAAGCAATTCCTGGGAGAAATCCATTCTCTGAGACCCCATTAATTGCCCTTCAAAGGCATACGCAGGCGAGACATTTTATAGGATATTTGGAATATTCACGCACATGCATCCAACATGCGATTTAGTTGCACTGGTTAACTTAATCGGCTCACGATCGAGGGCAGTTTGCTCATTATATCGTGGATAACTTTGGCTAACGCGGTCATGTCTCAGGTAGCGGCTAAATACGAACGCTCTGTATTCTTACATGCGAAGCTGCATAGGAAACCACACGCCACGATTGTTCCCATTTATGTATAATTGCTTCTCCGTCTTTGCAAACTTCACGTTTATTTTCCGTTTTATTTTTCACTGCACTACCCTATGAGAACAGACTACCTCTGGTTGGTACTATTGATATTCCTGTGCACCAGGAGTGTGTCGCACTGAAAAACTTTTTGTGGCGGTCTTCCTTCAGGTGCCTAACAAAAATATACGTTATTTACTGACCAGCCTGCTGAGGGCATAAGAGAATTTTGAACATGAGGTTTTACACACTGGCCATTATTTTATTCGGCGAATTGTGAATGCAAAGCAGCCCATGTGAAACATCATTATTCAGGCCAAAATCGCCCTTGCGGTAATTAGTCCCTTAACACAATTGATCTTGTGCTTATTGAGACCCGCCATATGAATATAACTGGAAAACTCACCTGACCAAGTGATTGTATGCTCTCAACTCCCAATCAGAGAGAAAATTCACAAACCACCATGTGACGCCGCAAGATTTGAATTAAGTATGTCAAACAAATAACAAGAAGCATCGATAAATAACAAATAGCTGGACAAGACTCTCTTCTGATTTACAGGGAATGGTGCACCCAGGCACTCTGAGTGATCCCGTAGTATTGAAACAAGGCGCAATATAACGAGAAAATAATTGAGTTTGAGTTAGCTTTCGTTCAACGCGTGTCACAGCAGACGCATGCCATACATGAAACCACGCTACATCGTATGCATACGAAACAAGTGAGAGAATCCGGGATAAACATTTTCAGTCGAAGATCTTCTAAGGAAAATTGAGTAGTGGATTCAGTTCTCACAGTGCGCTAACTTAAAACAGGCGAAATCACCGATTTCATAAGATACTAGTCTGATCAATCCTGGTGTACTCCGTTAAATGGAATGGAATTTAAGTTTCGAAAGCCACGACTTGTCTCTGATGGACTAAAGCAATCGGGCAGTTAAGTTCAGCGTACCGATCCAAACTTTGGAGCCTCATTTAGGCATCCTGGGGTCTCAGCGATGCTGAGAAACTATTCCACCAGACTTTTCCTCCAGAGGTTTGATTGCTTCAGTGGACAACGAAAATTTATGAACTGCTAAAATGTGACCGTATATTAGAATGGTTTCTAGTTTGAGCAAAGAATGCAACATTTTGTCAAAAAAGGTTTTAATCCACTCGCAAACATTTTTCAGCTACAAGCACTGTGCGGATAATGAGTCCCGTAAAATGGGGCAATGTCTTTTGCGTGCAATCTGTGGACGGAACGCAACAAATCACCAGATAGCTGCCAGCAAATAAAAGGCCTCTGTAAAGAAGAAACTTAAACGATGCCTTCACTCCTAGGATTACTGATAGCGATGTTGTGTTTGGTGCCAGGCATTGTTGGTGAAAAGAAACAAGTAAATCCAGGACTTGCCAGACACATATGGTAGAAGTAGATGATTCAATACCAATTACGTTTGTTAGATGAGGCATGTTACCTTCTATGTGGTCCCACAATATCCTCACCCTTCATCGAAGTTTCTTTTAGCCACAAAACGTTTTTCTCAATTTAGATGACTTGCTGAATCAGCTACTGGATAACTACGCACCTATTGGTAAGTACGTTCTATGCTATCCGACATCTGATATTTGGAGGTAATTTGTGTTTTCTTTTAGAAGTAATGTTATTTCGCCATGCGCTGACCACCTAAAATGA